CCCGCGCCACTTCAGCCTGTGCCTAGAGAAGTTAGCTGACAGCAAAGTTTGGTTTTTTAAAACGCTCCTCTGGCTTGAGCATTGATTTCAAAGCTGTAAGACACCTACTCAAGCTTTCCAGCTGAAGACTGGGCAGTGGCAGCAGGACACTTGCTACCACAGTTCAAGAACAGATCAGCACGGCGTTCAAACACATGTATGGAACCATCGCACAGCAAAATCCGACAACTCTACAGACACTGTCGGCAGGAACCATTTGCTTTGCTGTTTGTGGCTGCTTGCGGCCGCGTTCCATTTCTAGCGAACGCGGCCAACAGCGAAGACAGCCACGTGTCACTAACTGCCCCACGGATGAGGCGGTGGTTAGCCCGTCCACCAGAACACCTTCCCCAAGCACTGTCGTGCCTGGACGCGCCGCAGTTCACGTGAAGACAAGCCAGACAAGGTGAACTCTGCTCCCCCTCTTCAGAAAAAAGAATTTCTAGACTAAGAACATCATCTGATTGGAAGAGACTCTTGAATTACCTACTTGTTAAGGTGCTGGATTTTGGTATCGGGAGAAGGAATAATTGTAGCTCTAGGCCAAGACTGACGGGCAGGTGTAACAGTGCCCACAGGCATCCACTGCCCTGCAAAGGGCTCTACACCCCGACTGCACCGTAACAGCTTGTGGTGTAGACAATGCGATGAGTCTTGGCTCTCTGCACTAGTAAGATCCAAGGCTGCATGCTCACAGGAGCACACTACAAACCAGTATGTCCACTTAACTGCAGTTTTATGGTGGTTTCAATGAATATTTCTAACGATGCAGTCCATACCCATTTACCACTTCCTTTAGTGCACCACGCACTTCTCTATATTTACACAGATGTAGCATTTTAGTCTGAGCACCAGTTCGGTTTTGCAACCCTAAATCCCACATAAGCTTGGTTTTACACTAGGGGACCACTCAACAATTTCTTCTACCGTAGAAAAACCCATCATGACCATTAATTTCTGGTCAGTAGAAGGGGAAGTAAAGTCATTTTAAGCACTGAACTAAGAGGATAGTGAGCATACCTTCGTTACTTGCAAAGTCTTCATGTAAAATAGGAAGATCAAGCCTAATCCGCTTTAGGCAGGTCTGAAAATGAGAGATTGAAATACTGATATTTCACCTGTGCAACATTCCTGTGTTTTAATACTCAGCCCAGTTTCTCTTTACACTTACATCTTTGAAAATAAAAAAATACTTCTTTCACTACATATTGTGGAGCAAACAGACTTCTCATGCTGCAGACTGTTTTCCTGGTCCTCCAACTACAACCCAGCCAGAGGAAGCAGCATTCTTCCTAAGTCTTCTTTGCAGGTTCAAACATGGAAAAAAAAAAAAAATCCCCAACCAACCAGTTCCAGAACTCTTAAGCTAAGTACTTTGGTTAAAGATGTCCTGAAAAAGTCGAAGGCAACTTTCTGAAGTACTAATACAAATAAAGAAAGGTTGTATCTAACTGTAAACTTAAATAACATTATAGTCCTTAGCCATATGCACACCTTAAGTCACCTTTTGCCGTGTAACTGCTCTCCTGAACCCACCCCTTAGACTGTTCAGTATGCATGAAGACAAACTGACAGGAGCAATACTTACCTGAACTTCCTTTTTGTTTCCTAAAGTCTCAACTCTGTCAATAAAATCTTCAAACTGCAGTTTTGGGAACAGTCTGTGAGCCCAGTGTTCCATATGTCGTATGAGCGTCTTCAGGTCCTCTGCCTGGAGCACAAGCAAAGACATGCAGCGAGTCAACACTAAGTCAGCAGAGGGAAAGGGGACAGTAATAATGCTTAATGAAAACATGAAGCATCTGCAGCTTGAAAGACTCTTGAAAATTGAAGTAATATGAGCACGTGGGTAACTTTTCCTCCTCCAATTAAGTCCGAAAGTGCAGAATCAAGCCATGAGAACAGCAACCTGAGTTCAGGAAGGGTATTTGCATATGCCATAAAACATCTGACAGGCTTCTGAGAAGATGCCCTCAAGCAACTAGTCTGAACCCAGGCTGAAAAAATCCACAGGAGCACAGCTGGCATTGATTCTGCTGTTCAGAACACACAGAAAAATTAACATCTAAACCTTACCCAGGAAAGACTCTTGCTCAGATCAGCAGTACTGCCTAGTTTCTTTGTGCCTCCAGTTGTGAAGAGAAAGTTTATACCATGAATATTGTCTGTAAACCAGGGATGCACAGGCATTTAAAGAAACATAAGCTTCGTATGTTTCAGTGCATCCAAGACAGTGAAACTGTAGAGGAAACACTGGTTTCTCTTTGCCTAAGCAATCATGCTTTTTTCAGTATTAAAGACTTTGGGACAGAGGCATCACAACAGCCAAAATCTTTTCCATAACAGAGGAAGTTGCTCATGAAGCAAGGTGGTAAAGGCATTCTGGACATATCATCAGCCCACTCCAATTTCAAAAACCTATTTCTGTGGATGATACAAAATAGTCACAAACATGATATTCTTGTAGTTTTAGAGTAGAGGGAAACAGTTTTAAGACAAAAACATGTATTTTGTTTAAAAAAAAGAAAAATCCATGTTTGCTCAGTTTGTTAAATTTGCAATTACAAACCCCACCAGGGCAGGTTCAACTACTACTGGAGAGTGGCTAACCAGAAGGTAATACTAACTCTCCTCATATCAGACGGGCAGCAATCTATCAAATGCAGGTTAACCTCCCAGGAAACAAAGCAAAAGCTCACTATGTCATACCTCATGCCCTTTGCCCTTGAACTTCACGTTGTCAAACATGTGTCTTAGGGCTGGAAGTCCTCTTTCCGAAATTAACCTGGCAAAGGAATTGGGTGACATAATTTGAAACCCAGACTTTCTTCTAATCAAGAAAAGGAAACCCACAAAAACACACCCACCTAACATACAAACAAAACGCCCTCACATCCACTTAAATAAGCTAAAGCTCTATTTTAAAGACATCTGAAATTAGAAGTCATTAAGAAAACACACTAAATAGGATAAAGACTGCTGCAAGACCCAAGACTTGTTTTTTCAGTTCACCATACATCTATTCCTAGTCCAAGGGGGTTTGGACTACATGGAAAGAAAATTCAGTGGTCGGTTCTAGTAACTACACTGGCCAACCAGAATTAATTAGATGTGTGACCACAGCATCTACCTGTGGTATCACTGACTACCTTCATCATGGTATCTGACATGGAAGAAACTGAAAGCTCAGATTCTCTCTATTGCTTTTAAGGTACTTACACCAGTTTGAGCGATAACAGCAAAGAAAATATCAAATCCTTTATACAGTGTTTATCCAGTTTCTACATAAGTGTTCTTTGGGTAGTGCCTTACAGTCACTATTACACTGAGGCTTATATTGATGCAGACTTTTAATTAAGTGATCTACACTATTGTTTGAATCCAAATAAAGAAGATCCAGCTGGAAAATGTATAAATATCTCTTAAAATATTAGTCATGTTCTAAGTCCCAAGGAGATTTCAAGGAAGTTAGACTAGGAACAGCATTATACAGGTAGGCAAGGAATAAAAACATTGAGATACAGCATTGCCATCTCCAAAACTCCTGATCTTTGGCTTGGCTCTGACCAAGCAAGGATCACAGTAACCTCAATCATTTCCCCCAGCCATATACCAAATTCATCGCAGAAAGAAACATTCCGTAAGAAATTACCTCTGGGCATCTAGTTTAGGCATTGGTCTTTTAACTGCTCTCTGTGTCGTGACAGCAGAATCCTTTGTTTGGGACTGCTGGTTTCCATCTGGTTCCGCTGAAGAAAACAACATACTTGAAGCGTACAATGCAGTTAACATCAACTAGAATTACATCACGGAAAGTTTCTACCCTATCACAAAGCCCTGCGTTGCAGGTACAGTACTCCAAACAAATTTCACCTACTTCTCCACAAGGCAGATTGGAAATAAATCAGTCTTTTCAAAATATATTGAGGAATCAGCTTTCCTAGCAAAGTAGGCTCCTTGAAAGGGAAATTTCCTAATTTTAGAACTTTTATATTGTTTTTCTAATGAAAAACTTATTGAGAGTAGATGCTTCTATAAGAAACTCAAACTCTTCATAAACACCATTTGACAAGTATGTCATAGAATTTCCACTGATAGATCTGAAAGACAGACCTAAACCACTGGCATCACCTTCAAAATACAGAAAAAGAGGCGATGTGTGACCAGATTCAGTGTGTCTTTTAAGAACCAAAGACCATATACTGTTTGATTAGGGCCAGTATATATTTGGCTGCAACAGACAAGGGACTGCTGCCCATCTCATCTCAGAGCTAGCCATTAGTTATTGTACTAATTTCTTGGTTAACTTTTTGTCACTTTAAACATCACAAACTTGGAAATTCCTTTTCACTTATCAAGTAACTAAATCTATCCTTGATTTTTTTTTAAGAGTAGTCTTATTTTCTAGTGAACAGTGCAAGGATCAAGGAAAACATACCTTCGGCACTGTAGGCAAATATGAGTAGAACTGAACAATAGTTAAAATCCTTATACTTTCTATCAGCTTGTTCAATACAGAGTAAGACCTCTTCAAATACAAATAATTCAGTTTCACTGTCCTGAAGGGTCTTGGATTTTTTCTAGGTCACACGGTCTGAAAAATCTACCAACATCTCCCTGGAATACTACATTCAACACTCCTACCTCTGCCAAAATCCAAGTGAAAGGGTAACCACTCTATAGTATCTTTACCAACATTTTATCAGAAAAGCTTGAATTTTATAAAGATTTATTGGTTCACGTATCTTCATGGAATCCACAAAAATAAACTTTTCTCACAAGCTCAGAAGCACAGAACCAATAACAATTTACATTTATGAATTGCCTTTTCACCTGCACAAGACTGTTCTTATGCTGTAAACTCAGGGTAGTGAAGTACAACACCAATAGTACTGATTTCACAGCTTTTCACCGTCTACACTGCAAAAGGGGATCTTTAGGGGTCATGGGTGTTCACCTCCGTTAGCTTGGGCCCACTCAACATCGTCTCTTCCTGGAGAGGCAGGAGGTGGAAGAGGGGGGAACGTTTCATCTTCTGTATTCTCATAATCAGGAAGATCGAACAAGTTGTTCTCTAAAGGGTCCATCATTGTCACGGATAAGCTTTTTTCTCCCTCCTGCAGGAAATACCAAAAGCATTTAAAGAGAAGCAGCGAAAAGAAAAGGCTGCCACAGGGGCAGATAAACAGTTACATAAAGTCAACGGACAGCTTTTCCGGAAAAAAAGTGCCAACCAGAAAAACACAGGGTCATGCAAATTAAGGAGCGGATAGGGTACAGCCGGATGACACAACCCGGCCTCACTAAGCCGATGAACACGAGTTTGTCATGTCTCAACTCATCCCAGTTACTTGGGAGGGGCAGGCACAGCTCCCAGGAACGGGACAAAAGAAAGGAGTATCTAACCAACGCATTAAAGACAGCTGTTTTGCCCTCATCCCTGAGAATCGAAGACTACTAAATCGGGGGTGGGGGATAATTCCCCCGATTTACAGCTTTCCCACCCAGAAACGCAGCCTGCAGGACTCCCCTTGTCCGGATCCTTAGACGAAGCCAACTCCACAGACACAGCAGCACAGCCAAGGCTTCGGGCACAGCTCTTTTCTGAGGCAAAGTCGTTTCCCCCAAAGGGAGGGCACCGCAGGCAGCTCCGGCTACACGGACCTTCGGAGGGGGGTCCCTACCCCCGGGCTGCGACACTCCCACGGAGCCGGAGGCCGAGGGAGTCGGAAGAGGGCAGCGAACTCGTT